TTCAAACTCTGTGGGACACCTGGGTGTAAAATGTATTCCTACTGTACCATTGGAATCTATATAAACACATGCAGCTTTATGGCTAAAATGTCAGACGAGTCAAAAAAGGGAGGGAAATTTGCAAACACTTTTGAAATAAAATTTACTTTTTAAAATAAAAGATGTCCATAACCTTACACTGGACAAATTTTGATCAGCTCTATAATTGGTAGAAAAATGAGGGGGGAGGGGGGAAAAAAATCAGACTTTTGTCAAAAAAAAAAAGGGGGAAAGATTTTATTTCAAAAATCAAAGTATTTCAACCAGCTTTAGTAGAAAGAACCAATTATTTTCTTGACCACAAATTAACCTACATTAGCTTACATCCTCCAGCTCAATCGCTCTTAGAAATTGATAGTGCTCCTGTCACTGTAATATCTATACACCATCTCTTTTGGATTTATCAGTAATGTTGTAGCAAGAATGAATTTCCATCAAAATAAACCCCTCAGTCTATACGAAGACATCGACAAATTTGCATTTGTCTTTCAGTTGCCAATCAGAAGCCGAGCATGCAATACGTAACTGAAGGATATGCAGGAACAAAAAAGTCGAATTCAGAAGAAAGAGATGTTTCAGCATTTGAGAAACAGCTGGCATATGGAAAAGAAACTAATGTATAGAAGTCAGGACTTGTTGGCAACATTGTACTATGTACAGAATCAATATGGTGTGTTCTCATATTTATAGTGTGACTAATCTGATGGTATGTAAAACTGTCAATCTGTGACTTATCAACATCACAGCAGGATTTCAAACAGAGGAAGAAATGCCTGATAAAATGGCTGGTCTCAACCTGGATTCTAGTTTGGATCACCGTGATAACATTAAAAAGACGTAGCTGGAAGAGGTGCTCATGGAAATCCATTAGCAATGCATGCTTTCAATTAGCTATTTAATCAGCAGATTTAATCAGCTATTTAAATCAGCAGATTTAATTCATGGGTATCATAAATGGATCAGACATATACCAGAGCAAGTCAAGGGTCCTGATAATGGAATGCACAACCAGCCATCATTATATGAGATACAAAATTACTGAGAGGTTCATGCAACAGTTCTGCAGCCTCCTGAGATGCATTGTCTAACGGTGAGACTGGGAGGCAGGAATTTCTGAGAAAGCACTTACAGCCAATATTTTTGAATTTGGGTGCCCAAAGTTAGGCATCTAATGATATTTCACCTAAATCAATATTTAGTTCATGAAATAAAAACATCATGATTTTAGAGGTGCAGAGCAACCTGCAGTTCCTGTTGACTTCAAACATTTCTGCCTCAGTTACCCACCTGTAAAAGCAGGATAATACTACTTCCCTGCCTCACAAGGCAGTTGTGAGAATTAACTAGTTGTTTATAAAGTGCTTGACAATGAAACCTACAGCTACTAGTCCTGTCTCCACAGTCGTTTGCCTTTTGAGGGCTTCCATAAATGTTACTAAGGGCATGATCTGAAGACAATGGGGTGACACAGGCATGGCCGAGGGTATAATTTGGCCTTCAGATCTATATTTCTGGTGGAGCTGTCAGGGCCCAGGATGAGTTTGTGGGGCTGTTCGAAAAAAAACAATTTTCGCTTGCAGACTGAGCGAATCTGATATGAAAACCAATGACACACAATGACGCCAGAACCCCACACTACCACTGTTAGTAACTTATTAGCACAGAATCATGCTTCAGTGAGAATTGCAGATCTGAATTAAGTCCAGGCCATGACATTAGATTTAAGGTAATCCTTAAAAGGATATTGCACCCATTTTGCTCATGTCAGATGATACCACTTCTCATCACAGGAAAGGGGTGAAAAAACAGACTTTTGACTAACCGTAGATGTCACTGCCATTACTGTTAGCAGTAATATGATTTTAATACTGGAAGATGACTTCACATTTGACACGAGGTGTGTGGACTCCAGTGGAAAAGACTACCAGTTTCCAGCAAGTTTTAATATTGGTTTAACAATCAGACTTGAATTGTTTAATATTTAAACAAAACCGTGAAAGAGCATAAACAACTGATTCTTTGTAAACTTAGTTTGTAAAATGCTCTGTAATGGTGAAGCCAGGTGTTTGTGAAAAAATGTGTCATAACTAATAAAATTTCAAATCCTGATCTTCCAGTTCCATTGGCACACAGTACCCCTTTAACTTCAAGGATAGTTCTATGTGTAGAAAAGACTGCAAGATCAGTGTTGGTACGAGGACTTGAAACAGCAGTCTATTTTAGGTTTCAGAGTAGCTCACGAAAGCTTATGCTCAAATAAATTTGTCAGTCTATTTTAAGTATTCTTAGTTCCTTTACATTTTAAAATGTCAAGTGAATGCACTTTAACTCTATATGGTTTGTCATTATTGTAAAAATGTTTATTTCCTTTATTTAAAGCAGAGTAGCACTTTAGGCATTTCGACACCACAGTTCTGATGGAGACCATCTGAGAGCCTAAATAGATACAGTATGGATATTCCATGCTTCTGTCTTGGAAGATTAAGGATACTTTTAATTGAAGTTTTGTTTCTAGCTGCAATTGTTGGTGTATCAGTTTTGTACTTTCCCCCCTGGCTTGTAGCAGACATGCTTATAGCATGCTTCGTAGCAGTGCTCAAATGCTGCCATTTTAATAGTTCATGGGTTTCGTTGGTGAACCTTTTGGTTGCTTCTCTTAAGATAACAGTTGGCTATTCAGAGTGACTTTTTTAATAAACCAAACTTAAGTGTTTATGTACAAACTTAATGTCTTTCTTCTTTTTAAAGAATAGTTTGGTAGTACCTCAGTACATACATACCAATAAAACAGGTACAGTGATAAGTACACAGAAAAGCTAAAAGTACTAACTCAGTAAAAATAAGGGGAACGCTACCGTATCACATCCTACAACAAATAAACCAAGTCAGATCCATCAAGAAATATTGATTTGGCACTATCCTCAGATGAAAAGTATTTGATTGCTTTACCCCTGGATCATCTTCAACATATTGAACAAATAAGGGCCAAGTAGCTATGTAACTGGCATACCAGTTATGTTTAGCATTCATCAGCTTTAAAATGGCTCGGACATCTCACACTTTAATAATCCAATTGTTTAAGGAGGCAGGCTCTGGACTACTCCAGTGTGTTGCAGTAACCAATCAAGTAATCAGCAATGGATGTATTAATAAACCATGACATTGGGGCTTGTTTGAACTTTATCATATTTTAATTGTTCCCCTGCTTTTATTATTTTTAAGCACCAATACTGTACAAGATAACAAAAGGCATGGCCCCTGACTGAAAGAGTTTACAAGTTTAGGAAACACTCATGCACATACTTAACTTTACTCACATGAGAACCATTTAACTCAATGAAACTATTTACATAACTGAAGTTAAGCATGTGCGTGACCTAAAAAAGCAAACATGGGGCCCCAGAGGATGGTGCTACTTCAGAGCCGTTGTTCTTGTCTTTGTTATAAAGGGTGGGTTGTGTAGTAATGTAACATGTAACAAAACTAAATCTAGATCATTCATCCAAAAGCTTGACTCTAAATCACTTTGATAGTACCAACACCTTAGCTGTCCACAATACCATTAGGTCCATGCAGTGAAAGTAAATTATAGTATGCATATAGTACCACATCATTCTAATTACATGAACTAAGTATCAGCAGATTTGAACTAATGGGCCCACTAATCTAACCCAACAACATAATCTCCTATTACAGATCACATCTAAAGTAATGGTAATTTACCATATTCTTAATGGGGTTTTGATCTTATTGAAATGTAATTCTATTTTTACAATACTTTACCATCTAAGAGAGAAGCCTTTTCTCCTGTTTCCTGTATTCCATTCATGTGCAAATTTGCTATCATTAATGCTTAGGCCTGTTGCTGTGTTGTGTGTGTGTGTGTGGGGGGGGTCCTCCATTTGAAAATAGTAAGCCTATACTCTGTAAAATCCAAGGCTGCAGAAGCATATATAGCCTGTTATGCTTTTAGATCCTGCTAAATATTTTACACACAAAGAATACTCACTTTAACTACTAATTTTAATCATTCTGAGAGTGCATCACATGGTTTCTTGGGTAAGGAAAATGGTCCTGTATTGGTTTTGACATCAGAGGTTAAACTCAGACCAACAGCAGAATACAGTCCAACACATGGTGTCAATGGGGACGGGAATGAGTTGAACCACTCACCCCAGGACTGTATTTAAGGGAATGGTCTGAAACAGCTCTCATCCCATGTGAAAAAAACTGGTTTGCTTGGGGACTATTGGCCCAGTAAAACTTCCATTAAGAGTCAAAGAGAGTCTTTACACTGACTTCCTAGGAATTAGATCAGCTTCTATGCACCTGAATCTGGTGTTGCAGTTGTTGTAAGTCAGGAGCAACTCAGCTCAAACCTGGTGTGAGAACAACTTCAGGCCTGATGGTCTCCTATTCATTTGAAGAAAATGGCAACCGGAGGACCCGCAACAAGAAAAATTGTCACGTTGATCCTAACATCTGAGGTCTATTTCACCCCAGGTCACTGAATGATACCTCGCTCCTATATAGCGCTTTGCATGACAAGATCTCAAAGTGTTCTAGCAAGGAGCTCAGTCACATTGTCCCCGTTTGACAGAGGTAGGTTGGACAGGAGAATGACACCGATCCGGTGGCGGGAGCAGGGGACAAGGGCAGAGAGGCTGGAGCAGGGCTTGAAGGGATTTACATTTTAGATGGGCTTCTCCCCTTTTTTCTCTCCTTCCTTTCTTATTCCTTCTTCTCTCCCCTCCTCCCCCATCAACTCCTCTTTTCCCCTTCCCTCTTTCCTCCTCCCTGGCCCCCATCTCCCTCTGCCCTGCAGCCACCACCCCATCCTCAGCACTGGGCCAGGGGAGAGCTCACCCAGGCTGGAAGGTACCACACAGACTGGCGGGGGACGTTGGAGGAGGGACTGTCCCATTCAGCCGGTTGGTAGGTGCAATTGGAGGCGGGGTTTTGCGTCTGTGTACCGCCGCCATGGTGACACGACGCGAGCCGCGCAGCCGGGGTTGCGGAGAGCAGGTTCGGGAATAGCTCGTGGCGCACCGTCGCTGGTGGGGAGGCTGCTCTGCAGGGTCAGTGAGGGGGGCTTGAAAGGACTGGGGGAGGGGTAGAAGGGATGGGGCGGGCTGAGGGGCAGAGAGGACTGGGGCAGGGGTAGAAGGGAGGATTTGCGGGGTGGGGAGGAGAGGTTTTGGGGGAGGGATAGAAGGGAGGGGCAGTAAAGATTTGGGAGGGTGGAGTGAGAGGACTGGGAGGGGGAGAGGGGCAGGGGTGGGATGAGAGGGGCGGAGAGGATTGGGGGGTGGGAGGAGAGCACTGGGGGAGGAGTAGAAGGGGGGCGGAGAGGATTGGGGGGGTGGGGAGAGGATTTGGGGGGTGGGAGGAGAGCTCTGGGGGAGGAGTAGAAGGGAGGGGCAGAGAGGATTGGGGGGTGGGGGAGAGCGGACTGGGGGAGGAGTAGAAGGGAGGGGCAGAGAGGATTGGGGGGTGGGGGAGAGCGGACTGGGGGAGGAGTAGAAGGGAGGGGCAGAGAGGATTTGGGGGGTGGGGGAGAGCGGACTGGGGGAGGAGTAGAAGGGAGGGGCAGAGAGGATTGGAGGGTGGGGGAGAGCGGACTGGGGGGAGGAGTAGAAGGGAGGGGCAGAGAGGATTGGAGGGTGGGGGAGAGCGGACTGGGGAAGGAGTAGAAGGGAGGGGCAGAGAGGATTTGGGGGGTGGGAGGAGAGCACTGGGGGAGGAGTAGAAGGGAGGGGCAGAGAGGATTTGGGGGGTGGGGGAGAGGATTTGGGGTGGGGGGAGAGCACTGGGGGAGGAGAAGGGAGGGGCGGAGAGGATTGGGGGGTGGGGGAGAGCGGACTGGGGGAGGAGTAGAAGGGAGGGGCGGAGAGGATTGGGGGGTGGGGGAGAGCGGACTGGGGGAGGAGTAGAAGGGAGGGGCGGAGAGGATTGGGGGGGTGGGGGAGAGCGGACTGGGGGAGGAGTAGAAGGGAGGGGCGGAGAGGATTGGGGGGTGGGGGAGAGCGGACTGGGGGAGGAGTAGAAGGGAGGGGGCGGAGAGGATTGGGGGGTGGGGGAGAGCGGACTGGGGGAGGAGTAGAAGGGAGGGGCGGAGAGGATTGGGGGTGGGGGAGAGCGGACTGGGGAGGAGTAGAAGGGAGGGGCAGAGAGGATTTGGGGTGGGGGAGAGCACTGGGGGAGGAGTAGAAGGGAGGGGCAGAGAGGATGGGGGGGTGGGGGAGAGCAGACTGGGGCAGGGGTAAAAGGGAGGGGCAGAGAGGATTTGGGGAGTGACTGAGAAGACTGGGGGAGGGGTAAAAGGGAGAGGGCCGAGAGGATTTGGAGGGTGGGGGAAGAGGTCTGGGAGAGGATGGGCACGGGATGAGAGGACTGGGGGGATAATGAGCAGATTATGGGAGGAGGGAGTAGCAGGGTAGCACATATCTACTGTTCAGTTTCTTGTTCTTTTCAGATTTGCTCCTCACAGTGTGTATTAACCAGTAATGAAAGGGTGGTGAGTGCTGTTTTACAATGCAACACCACTGTCCAGGAGCGGGATTTAGGAAGGATTACAGACCCTCCTTAGAGGAGTTGCAAAACACCATCCAAAGGTCTGCAACTGTTCGTACACTTCCCACCATCACCACAACCATTGCACTCCCTTTCCCAACCTGCCAGGAGTTTACATAACCTCTGTCCAGGTGTCTCCATGCAAAATGTCCCTGCACTCTACCCCAAGTGACAAGATTCCTGTAAGGATGGGTGTTTCCTTAATTGTAACGGATATTTAGCTTGAGGCCCAAATAATAACACAACTCCTTGACCTTAAAATCTAAAATGCAGGTAGAAATTATGGCTGTTTAAAGGAGGATTTTTTTTTAAATTATCGTCTCTGCACTGAAAACTTACAAAGAACAGAGTCAGAAACCCAGTTTGATAGATGATATTTGTTTTCTTCTTCCTCAATTTTTACCTGAATTTTTGTCACTGTACTTGACACCTTCTAAACAGAGTGCATTAGAAAAATTTGAGCTGGGATTTTCAACAGAGCCTGAGGTGTTAGGCAAATCCCATTAAACTGGTCATCTAAACTTCCTTAAAATACTTTAAAAAAATCAAACTAGATTAATATAGATATATGACTCGCCTCCACCTCATGCCTAGCTGCTGGGAAGGAGGCAAAGTGCTTTTATGGTACTGTTACCAAACCCTGCTCAGAGCTTTCACTTTTTGTTTCAGCCTCTGGCTGTTTGCATCTGACACCTGAACTACACAAGGTTTCACTGGTGTAATTTAACCTTGTTTTAAATCAGTTTAGCTAAAGTGGTGCAAATACCTGTGAGGCCATTCTTATTTCAGAGCAGTTTATTATTCTTTATTATTCTTATTAAGAGCAGTTTATTTTATTTTATCTTCAACCGGTTCTCAACTGATATAATATAAACTAAAAATACCCCACTCTTAAACCAAAATAACCATGTCCACATAGGGTTTGCACCTATTTAACTAAAATAATTTTAATTCACTTCTTAAGTTAAATCAGTGTCTTTTTTTCTTTCTTTTTTTTGTGTCACCACCTCCTCTATGAATAGCTCTAGTGTCTCCTTTTGCTGATACTAGTAGATTTTCTATACAGTGGTAGTAGATTGAAATTGACTTGATTTTTGAAAGTTTCACTGTTGCCTACAATGTTCTGAACAGAAGCAACATATCTGTCCAGATTTGTAAATTTTACTTTGCTGCTACTTTGAGAAAATAGGTACAGCAAGAGAAACAATGGAAATGGCTGTCTGAAATCTATGGTCCAAAAGTGCTAATTATTAAAGTGCTGTCTCTTTGAATATGCAATATACTTTACAAAGGTAGATCACTGTCATCCTCATTTCACAGATGAGGTAACTAAGGCACAGATAGGTGAAATAATTTGCCCAGTGACACACCGATTCAGTGGCAGAGCTAGCAGCAGAATCCAGGTCTCCCAATACTTGCCCTATCCACTGGACCACCCTTGCTTTCATTAGTTTGCATTTGTAAGGTTGTCTTCACAACCGTTAAGAGCTAGAAACTTTAAAAATGAATGCTTAATTTCTGTAGAAATTGATGGGTTAAATCCTGCAGCTCATCAAAGAAAGTTTCTTACTCATCACTGAGTGGGTGAATGGATATTTCAAGCCCCACTTTATGTTAAAACTGAAGCATAGCTATCAGTTTAAAAATCTATACAGACTAGTTGATTCATTACTTCTTAGCCCACAATGTACGCATAATCTCCCAACATAGATCTGCTGTTACATATAGTATGATCCATGCCAGAGAAAGGACAGTTATAGATATCCATCAGTGTGTTAATAAAAGGCATGATGAAGAGCAACAATTTTATGCCATAAGAAGTGTTGCCTCTGGAAAACTAAAAATTGATGCAGTGACATACATGACACATGGCTTCCTATACCCATACATTAAAATTAAACTTATATAAATAATGATTTTTAACACAAACAGACTTTCTTCCTGCTGCATCAAGCACTCCCCTGCTGCTGTAACCTATTACGAAAGAAAATGGCACTAAAATGTCAACAAAAGTTTCCTATTTTCAGATGCTGACACTCTTGTGTTTTAACTCAGCCATTTGATTCCTTATGTATATAAAGTGATTGCACATGGATTGTCTGTTAACATAAATATGAAAAAAAACTTGTCAATATATTTTTGTAAGTAAATATTCTTTGTCCTGGGTTTATATCTAGAGGGATATAGCTATAGCTATTCAACAGGGTGTAAATAAAAAGATCACTGATGTCCAACATATGATAGAACACCATCCCTTGGAATCTTGCAACTAAAATCTGTTGCCTTATCTTTATTTCCCTGATAATATGTATAAACAGATTTATTGTTGTAGGGTTAAGTAAATTGTCACTGCCATTTTTTATGATTAAAGGCCCTATTTTGCCACGCTTACTCATGCTGAGTAGTAATTTACTACACAGTTAGGCCCTAATCTTGTGAACACTTGACTCATGCTTAACTTTACTACCAGGGGTAGTCCTGGGATTTTAAATGGGACAATTAGCAATAGTAAAGTTAACCACATGTGGTTAAGTGTTGGCATTATTAGGGCCTTGTCATTGATTTCTTATTGTACAAAATACTACTGAGTGTGAGTGGCAGACACGCTCCCTGAAGTATTTATAAATAAAGGAAAAGGAGTACTTGTGGCACCTCAGAGACTAACCAATTTATTTGAGCATGAGCTTTCGTGAGCTACAGAAGTGAGCTGTAGCTCACGAAAGCTCATGCTCAAATAAATTGGTTAGTCTCTAAGGTGCCACAAGTACTCCTTTTCTTTTTGCGAATACAGACTAACACGGCTGTTCCTCTGAAACCTATAAATAAAGGAGTGCATCAGCTTTGCCGGATCAAATTCTGAGTCTGTCCACAATGCTACTGACTGTGTAAATAATTTGATAGGACTTATCTAAATATTTAACAAACATAACTGTTATTGACTATTTCAGTGAACAAATTGTTTGTTTACATTTAGTCTCATATTTCCTAAATACAGGTCTGATCTACACTGCAGCAGAAAATACGGAATGAATTCTTCATATCTGAATCATATTTTTCCACTCTTTCCTTTCTACATGTTTGTAACATGAATAATAGCTTATCTCAAAGAGTATTAATCCAGCCACATGATCATCATACTAATTTAAAAGGACCATCTTTAAGTGAAAGCAACTGGCATCCAAGTCTGCATGACTCTCAGGAGTCTGATTCTGAAAGCCTTACTCAAGAGATACAATATCAGTTAGAACTTCAAAAATGGATTTGTGAAAATGAAGTACTGGTAGGCCAGTCTTCTGATGAGCTGGAGAATGACAGCTTAGATGAAGATAGTCTGGAGGAGAAAAGTCTGAATGAATCAGAAGGAGCAAATTATGACAAAGTACAGTTTTCAAATGGAAAAGATTATGGAAAACAGAACCATAATAATGAAAGGTAAGGAATATATTTTTAGCTATGATAGCTGACTGTTCTTGTCCTAAGTCCTTTCTAAGCCATTTGGGTAATGCATTAAAGTGGGCATAAATGTAACTTACACCTAATAGAAATAGTTCATTGGCACAAAGACTATATTTAGACCAGGCCTTAATGCGAATGTGAATTCAGGGCGATGTGTTTTGAAATGTACTGTGCTGTACAACTTTGTTGCTTTAGAAAAGAAGGGAGAGCAGCCATTCTTTGTTCACTGAGGGCTAGGTTGTAGCTTGCGCTGACTACACTCCCATTCAGGAAAGTAAGGGGAAGTCAGAACCTGCCTTACACCCATATATAAGCTACCTAGACATTGGTTCTGGGAGTGCAAAAGTAGATGGGTGCTTCATACTCACTCACTTGCCCTCAAAGTAGGTGGGCAGGGAGGTGTGGGGAAATGAGCAGAGCCTTGCCTCTGTTCACCCACAGTGCCAGCCAGTACAGCTGAGTGATACAATTTTCTGCTGGTATAGGCCCAGTAAAAATAGACATCCATTCTTCTCTATGAGCTTTATCCAAAGCCCACTTAAGTCAGTGGAAGGAGTCCCACTAACTTGAATGGCCTTTGGATCAAGCCTTAAAGCACTTATGATAACGCACTGGATACTTGTTCAAAACTGATAGTTGGTGACTGTTGTTCTTTTCTATGCACTTGATAGGATGGGGCATCTTTCTAAATAATTTAAGAAATGCATGTTTCACTGTTACATTCAGATAGTGATTTTTAATCACTTTGGTTTGCTGCACTTATATTAGAAAACTTATGTTTAAAACAATATTGAAAAAATTGGAGGGCTGAATAGATGCATTTTTATCCAGTAACTGTATAAATGCAAAATTAAAAATTCCAGCAGACTGTCTGTCATCCTCACACATTCTTACAAAAGCATTAACTTTATACATAAAATAAAATTGAATATGCTGTCATATGCATCAAAGGTTTAATGCTGTATAAATTGGGAATAATTGTTGTGTTTAAGAGAATTAAATTAAACCTGAAGCAATAATAATGTGCCATTTCAATTTAACTGTCTACTTAAAATAAAGTGGCAAACAAATGAAGGCTAAATGATTAATAGCGTGCTTTTATTCACCTCCTCAACACGCAAAATGGCCAGTTACTGAACATTTTATTGCCAGTGCAAAGGATGTTAATTGTGCTAGAAACATGCTCTAATTTTAGTAATTTTTTGACTGAATACTATGCTGAATATGAGGCTCTTCGTTAAATGGAAATTTTATTTTATTTTGTTTGAAGTTGTCACAGTAAGTACTCAAATACAGTCCATTAACTGGAGCAAATATGATAGTATATGCATTTGAAACCTCCTCTCTACATCCATTACTAACCTAGGAATTTGAAGAGGAAACCCTGCATCTGTTGTCTGCTCATCAACAGAAGTGCTGAATACAGAGTCCATCTAACCTTTATATCAAATCAGGGGGAGGAATAAGAGGTGTGTGTTTTGTCTACAGATGATTAGAGATGAAGGAGCTCTTCATACTCATTTTGTTCCAGTGTGGTGACCTGGACAACATAATACAATCAAGCCGCTGTGCACACATTTCAACACAATAGGCGTCTTTGGAATCGTATTTTGTTATTTGAGTGATTGTTTTTAGTAGAATATTACATATTTCTGTGCTTATGTTGTTTCAAAATAGGCATTTATTCTGGCATATGATTTACATTTATGAATAATGATGATGTTTTAAGACTGCTGTTACTTCATTGGTATAAATTATCAGGAATTGAAACACTTATCTCAAGTACAAAGTATATCAGGTCACCGACACTTCTCTGAAACAAAAAACATCAATATAGAACTAGATTCTATTTGTTATTTAGATCACACTTTATATTAAAGTACATTTGTAACTAGTTTAGAAAGTGTTAATAAATGTTGAGTAGATGCTTTAAAAGTTAATTGTTACAGATTTTATAGAGTTCAGCAGGCCAATAGGTTGATTGTAACCATGGCTTGAAAGCCAGTAAGAGTTGGGTGCCTGACTTCTTAAGACACTGTTGAAAAACCCACTTTGTGGACAACTGTTCCTAAAATGTGGTTCATATATACCAGTTAAGATACTGCTGATCAACCCTTTACTTTACTCCTCTCTCTCTCTCTCTTTAAATTTCTTTTCTGGTCTGGGGCTTTTTCACATGGATGCATGACATAGTTGTGTTCCTCTTTCATCTCAGCTACAATCTGTATTCTACACAGAAGACTTTTGGGAAAGCTCTATTAAAATAGCAAAGGACATATCTTGGCATTGCATGGCAATGAATGGAGATAATACCATAAAAATCTATTGGCTGTTCCCTCTTAGGTAACTAGTACTCATGAGGGACCAATGTTAATTGGAATATCACTTTTCCTCAGAGAGCAGAGTCTCTGGGGAGTGACTGGAATTTTGTGTGGAAGATAAACCGTAATGATGGCCTTTTATAATTTATTCCCTCTTAAATGAAATTTTACCGGACAGTTGAAAAAGGTAGTTGTTGCATTTTTATTATTGCATTTTCTGGGTGTTCCTTCCCCTCCCCTCTCCCCCCTGTAAGTGCCATGATGAATTTATATTAGGAAAATGTTGTATTCCTTGGTCAGATTTGATAGTTTTAAGCCTAATTATCACTTAATGCCAATTAAAATTAAAGATTAAGAAGGTGCTCTTCGTGGATCTTTTGCTCATGTTCAGTGTAACTATTGGAGCCCTAATCCTAAAAATGGTCTCATACATGAGAAACTTTACACACAAATGGTCTCATTAAACTCAGTAGAACTTCTCACATGTGTCAGGGTATACACAAGTGTGGGCAAAGGCCGGAATATTAAATTGGTTAGATATAACTTATTCAAAGTGTTGAATGGTGTTTCTCTTTTTAAAACGTTAATATTTCTTTGCTGGTTTTCATAGCAAGCAGCAACCTACAGACAGATACTGTAACCTAAGATACAATCCCAACTGGAAGAGCAATAAAGAGGAACCAAAATTTTCTGAAGTGAATAGAAGACACCGCGTTGCTGAGAAAATCCCACAGGGCTCCTCTCAGGACTCATTTTACTTCCCTTCCAAGCACATCTTAGAGGAGAATAACCAGCTGGTAGAAAGACAGAATGTATCTTCTGCATTTGATACAGAATTGTTAAGCCTTGATGATCAACCTGTTGGGATAAGCAGTGCACCTTTTAGATTGCATACAAAAGGAGACCTATCAGCAGATGATTGTCAATACAAACACAGTTCCAGTACATACAGTGATGTTTTTTCTCCTCGATCTGTAGAAGTTCAGCAACAGAGAGCAAAAAAAGACTTTGTGGAAAAAAATAAACTTACTTTGGGATTAGCTACACAGAAACAGGATTCTTATCTTCATTGGCACAGTAGAAAGCGAGAGGAAGTTCATCAAGGGCAGGTGGGTAATGCACTGTATTTAGAACATCTCCTGACAGGTTATGAACTAAATGGATGGGCCACTGATTAAAGGGGCACACCTACTAAATCTCTTGGTTTTGCAGAGTGATTCCTGGATTTTCTGTCAATCACATGATTCTCCATAGCACAACTGATGGAAGAAACCATTTGGGCTGTGTATCTTCCTTGCCCTTGATAGGATGATAGTGTTCTGTGGTGTTCATATTCCCAGCTGTAGCTTTTCAATGGCCCCCAGTTGTGCTATGACTTCTAGAAAGCTGGCTATGTCACCTGCTGTTGGTGCAGAAGCCACGCCTCACTCTTAGTATTCAGTTGAACAGTAGGTAGGAAAGAGGTTGCTCATGCCATTTTCTCCAAGCTCATCTATGCAGCAGAGGGCAGGACTTGAATTTTAGAGGCATCCCAATGGAGGACTCAAATCCATGCCCTGATTTGGACAAAAAATGTTTTGTGCCAATGCTAATTGATTACATTAGGTACATTAGCTAAAAGCCTGTTCTTTGATGGTTACCAGACTCAGGATTATATGTCTTGGGAGCAAGGTCCCAGAAGCAAGGGCTGTCAGCTGAGAATGCCCTTCGGTCAGTCTTGAAAAGCAAGTTCCGGGGACCAGTGACCGCATTGCCCTCGAGAATCTCAACTGTTCTGACAGAACAGAAGGGGAGAGGTGGTCTCTTGGGTAATGAGCCCAGAACTATTTGTAAGCTTCATGCAAAATGTTGAAATTTATTTTTTATAACTCTTGATTTTGCTTGGTAATAAAGTGATAAAGTTATCCATCTTACTTGATTCGATTCTTCATCACATCTTATTAATTGATACATTTTGTTCTGCACTGGAGGTGTTTGGCTTAGCTTACCTGATTTTGTCCATTGCGTGCTCTTCTAATAATGTATGCACTTGTCTCCTTATGGGTGGACAACAGCAGTGTTGCAGCATGAAAGAAAAATGACTCCTAATGGTAGAACGCTGATAATACAATAGTTTTGAGAGAATCAAAAAAACTGATCCCATTAACAGTATAAAAAGTTTGCATTTGCAACTTTCCAATTGCTCTGATCACAATAAAAATACAATTTATATCCTTTTCTCTGATTTTTCAAGCTGCATACAATATAGATACGGTGCAGTCTGGGTGGATGCATTCACACATTTACTCAGTGACATTTAGGCCCACATTTTTCCAAGAGTATCTGCTAACTGTGGAGGGGCCAGATTTTGTGAGTCTAAACAGGTTTCAGAGTAACAGCCGTGTTAGTCCGTATTCGCAAAAAGAAAAGGAGTACTTGTGGCACCTTAGAGACTAACCAATTTATTTGAGCAAAAGCTTTCGTGAGCTACATGCTTACGAATAGCTTATGCTCAAATAAATTGGTTAGTCTCTAAGGTGCCACAAGTACTCCTTTTCTTTTTGTGTCCAAACAGACAACTCAAGCTTGATTTTCAGGTTTCCTGAGCATTTACAATTCTATTTTAAATCATTGGAAGCTGCTGGTACTCCAATCCCTTAGAAATGAAGGGCCTAGTTTTCTCAAGTTCTGTTCTCAAAATTGAAACAGCCAACATTAGGGGATACTTTTGAAAATGTTGGTTAAATGTACTGGACTACAATGCAATACAGCACTATCCATATGTTACATAATGTGACGATTAGCAAGATAAGGTGAGTGAGGGAATATCTTTTATTGGACCAACTTCTGTTGGTGAGAGAGACAAGCTTGAAAGCCACACAAAGCTAGTAAAAGATATTACCTCACCCACCTTGTCTCTCTAATGTCCTGGGTCAGACACGGCTACAACTACACTGCATAGATTAATGCGAAAATGGAAGTTACAACATAAAAAGTTACACTGTTGAGTTATACCACAGATTTCTCTGACAAAGCTGGCTAGTGAGACCTTCCATAGTAAATTATGTACCGTTCTAAGAGGCTAATGAACAGCTGATGAAAACACTAGAGGGCACCTGCTGAATGTATTACAACAGTGGAATAGTGGACAAGCTCTTTGCTAGAAGAGATATTAAGAGCACTTGTTTTTCCATCTATAATTCAGTTGATGGCAAAAATTATTAATTTAGATTAAGGCTAATTAAAGGTTATGTTGATCTTTTATCTCCCATTTTGAAATTCTGAAAATATATTTGTAGGCTATGCCTAGCATTACATATTAGTAGTAAGTAGTAGTGTTGTTATCGTGGTTGCACCTGGAGGTCCTAATCAGGGATTGGGATTTAATTATACTAGTGGCTGAACATTGGTGCAGGGACTATGTCTTGTTATGTCAAAGAGTTTACAATCTAAAGCCCTGATCCTGCAATAACGTGTGTGTGTGCCCACAGCCATGTGCCTATGCAGACTCCCTTTGACTTTAGTCGCGCTCCATGCATGAGCAAAACAGTGCAGAATTGGAGCCCCTAAATAACAGATTAGGGATAACAAGGTAGGCACAAAGTAAATGTGCCCACCATGATTAGGCTAATGAGCAGTCATCATTCTTTTATTTATTGTCATGTTAGGCGTTTTCTTTAGGACATACATGGACTAGAAAGATAGAGGTAGTTAAAAATATCCACTTTTGGGACAAGACATTGTGGGCCAGGCTCTGTCCACAGTTAAAATTGTGATTCCGTGGAATTACTCTGGATTTACATGGTTGTGACAAAGCAGAAACTGGCATTTTGTGTGCCTTACAATATCACTGAGTACCCTAAAATGCAGGAAAAAACAAAAGAGAGAAAAAGTCTGTTCTGCAAAACACATCCACCTGAAAAACAAAAGGTCCAAAAATGTCAAAATAATGAATCCCAGATGGATTGAGTTTGTGAGGCCATGTCAGTTTAAGGAATGTTGTTGTTTTTATAACAGCAATGTCCAAAATGTGCCTGGGGCTTTCCAAACAGCCCTTGCCCTGGTGAGTGTGCAACCTAAACACTGCTTGTGTGGTTATTATGGGGATGTGAGATGAAGAGAGTGGAGTATCAGGAGCGGAAAAGATAGACCCCTTCAGGTTGATCAGTAGATTGAAAAGTACTGGATGAGAATGTATTGATGTATCTGAGCTGAGGTAGTGATTCAAAAATTCTCTCTTTGAACTGAATGACTGGAGTTTGTGTCAAGTTTTGTTTTGTTTTTTAGTCTGGAGTTAAAAGTTTAGATAATCAGATATCTACTCAGGTACATTTGTGGTTTTAAGGTCAAAGGGATGATGCAGAGATACTGATTTTCATTATCTTAGATTTCAGAATAGGTGGAAGGAGAATTAGCCATTATGAATTACAATGATTTCTAGCCAAGCTGGGAGGGCCATATAACTTTCCAGTGGATCGTCACTGGCTAAATAAATGATCAAGTCTAACATTCTCTAAAGGAGTGGCATCCAGCCATCCTTGCTGTACCTCAGAGCCTTTGAAGGGTTGAAAACAATGGGAAGGAAACCCCTGAAAAAAAAGGGAAAAACCACTGGTTAGATTGTTCGTGTGAGTTAAGGTCTATTTTTAAAACAGAAGGAACAAAAACCTTGATTCGGTCTTCACTTATGCCTGTTTTACGACAGCGTAACTACGTTGACTACAGTGGAGTTACTCTTTATTTACTGTGGTGTACATTGGGCCCAAAGCCACAGATGATAAGGCCCTTAATATAAGTATCAATATTGTCAGCAGGCTAGGAATCAGAGGTGCCTCTCTGAAACACCTACAAGATCTCTATCAAGCATTCTAAAAACTACAATACCCACCTGCTGTAGTGAAGAAACAGATTGACAGAGCCAGAAGAGTACCCAGAAGTCACCTACTACAGAACAGGCCCAACAAAGTAAGTAACAGAACGCCACTAGCCATCACCTTCAGCCCCGAACTAAAACCTCTCCAGCACATCATCAAGAATCTACAACCTATCCTGAAGGACGATCCCTCACTCTCATAGACCTTGGGAGGTAGGCCAGTCCTCCCTTACAGACAGACCCACAACCTGAAGAAAATACTCCCCAGCAACCACACACCACACAACAAAAACACTAACCCAGGAACCTATCCTTGCAACAAAGCCCGTTGCCAACTCTGTCCACATATCTATTCAAGGGACATCATCGTAGGACCTAATCACATCAGCCACACCATCAGCGGCTCATTCCCCTGCACATCTACCAATGTGATATATGCCATCGTGTGTCAGCAATGCCCCTCTGCCATGTACATTGGCCAAACCAGACAGTCTGTACGCAAAAGAATAAATGGACACAAATCAGACGTCAAGAATTATAACATTCAAAAACCAGTCGGAGAACACTTCAACCTCTCTGGACACTCAATTTCAGACCTAAAAGTCGCAATTCTTCAACAACAAAACTTCAAAAATAGACTCCAGTGAGAAACTGCAGAACTGGAATTAATTTGCAAATGGGACACCATTAAATTAGGCTTAAATAAAGACTGGGAGTGGATGAGTCATTACACAAACTAAAAACTATTTCCTCATGCTAATTTTTCCCCTATTGTTACTCACACCTTCTTGTCAACTGTTTGAAATGGGCCATCCTGATTATCACTACAAATTTTTTTTCCTCCTGCTGATAATAGCCCAACTTAATTGATTACTCTCATTAGAGTTGGGATGGCAACCCCCATTTTTTCATGTTCTCAGTATATATATAATCTTCCTACTGTATATTCCGCTGCATGCATCTGATGAAGGGGGTTTAGCCCACAAAAGCTTATGCCCAAATAAATTTGTTAGTCTCGAAGGTGCCACAAGTACTCCTAGTTCTTTTTGCTGATACAGACTAACACAGCTACCACTCTGAAACCTGATCTCTGAAACATAATTCATCTTAAAGTTCTTGAAACTGAATTGAACAGTCAAGGCAGGTAAGTTAATCAGTTAACTGAAGTGACTAAATGAGCATAGTTAAGAAATTGATAATAGACATTAGAGAATGATGAGAAGTATACAAAAAATAGCATCTCGGATATCTGTGTCAGCATCCAGAATACATGCTTTGGATGTTGTCTTTATAAACTGGATCATTTTCCACTTTTCAGCAAGTTAGAACTGTCATAATTGTTAGCAACACAGTTAACAGTGAGGTATAGTGGGTATAAAATGTTGCATTAAAATACAGAGTGCTTTTCATGTAATTTTACTAAATCATCTCTGTAAAAACTTACTATGGAGTAAGATATTTGAATGTTTGATATGGAAGGATCCTTTTTCCAAGTTACTGTAAGATTCACAGCCCATTAGATCTGTGGGCTATATATACACACCCAAACATACTACAAATGCGTGTGTATGGGCTGATATGTATGTTCATTAATTCATATAGCATTTTATAAAGCATCAACTTTTTTGCAGCGCTGCCTGATTCTCTAAGAACCTGATGATGGGTTTCTTTGAGAGAGAGAAGTAGCTGCCCAGTCTAGCTCAGCTGTACTCAATATGAGTTGCTTTCCTCCCTAGAAACCTCTTACTTCAAAGCGAGGAACATAATGTACAATTTTTTAATGGCTCTAGACCAAGGCACTCAGACTCTCTGTGCACTGCGCCTTACTTCAGTGTAAACACCTAATCAAGATTGCCTGCGCTTCAACAATAGCAGCCAAATGCAATTCGAGAACCACAAGCCTTTGAAGTCCTCACTGCAAAGGCCGGTTTTCTAGTCTGGGATAATGACATGCCATGATTGCTGTCTTTGTTGTATCTTTTCAGTAGAGAAGCAATTATGGGCCTCAATTTAACAGAATAGACATTACACAGCTTATGATGCTCAAAATGCAATTTCATTTGATCATTTTCTCAATTTGATTGGTATTAATAGAATAGTTCACAAAAAAATGCTGGCAGAGGTTGTGTCCGGTTCCTCTTTCAAAGAGATAATGTAGAAGTATGCTTTACCTGCCCAGTAAACTGTCAATGCAGTGAGTCAGTGGGTTCCACCAAAAACATCTTACCAATGAAACAGCTGTGATCCTCTGTCTGCTGTGGAGAAGGAAACCTATGAAGAGTCTTCCTAATTTGTTAATTTCTTTCCTGTAAGGAGAGCTGGTAGATTCTTTCATTACCATTTGCAGCAATATGCCTCACCTGAAATATCAGCAATAAGAGCCAACCCCACTAGTGTTAACTCATTCCTGTTCATACTAGCTGAGGCAGGTACCTGCATAGACCTGGCTACAGCATATTACCTGAGTCAGTGGTTCTCATACTGTGCTCTGTGGATCATTGGTGGGATACAAAGCACTTGCTGCTAGTCCAGAGAGAGGCTGGCCTGATGGCAATAAGTCAGTATTCAGTTCTTAAGAAACTGTAGCTTGACTCATGGAGCTTCCTCAGGTGCTAAGTGTCTGCTGTGCATTCTTCTGCAATCTGTGGGAACTGCATAGTCTTTCCGAAGCGCATGTGTGTGCGTGGTTTAGATATAAGTCCAGAGCATTAAACTAGGCATTTCACTTGTACACAGCACCCTGATATAACAGTTGGGTATTTTACCTAAGAACAACACCCATATGAATGCTTCCTAATTTCAAGTGATTTGCCCTGTGTACTCAGTTTGTGGATATCTAGTACTCACTTCACTGTTGGGTCATTGGTCTTAGGCAGCTCCAGTGTAATCCAGATGGCCTACTCCAGGTGGACCCTGAACAAGCTTGGTGTAGTTGTCCCTTAAGTATGCTCTTTGGATTGCCATGCTGTTATAAGCGCCCCAGCCACTACTGCTATCTGTGCTCTTCTACCAGCTAGGATGCTGATTGGTTGTGTGGAAAAGAGACAGTCATTGATGATCTGAGCTCAAGTTTGCACAGTTAGTAGTTCCACCGGTCACAGACATCTTCTCCCCGTGGCCTTTCCCAAATTAGCCATACCCACTCGTCAGTGGTGCTTAGTTATCCTTACTGCAGGCAATGGCTTAGTAGAGCAGCCGGGTATGTTGTCACAACAATGGATGGACTGGCTAATTGTCCACTTATTTGGGTACTGTACTGTACTGTCATATTTAGCTATGGATCATGGCAAAAGCATTGTGTAAAAGCAAACCAGGACAATATCTAGCAGTAAAGAGGCAGAAAGAAAGGTAATAGGAGACAGACAAGATCAGTTGTTTTAATATGGTATGTGTTTCGTTCTGTTGCCTGGATTGCTCCCAGCTCACACTCTGTGCATTTCCAATATGATACTGCAATGGCACCTTGCTAGCACTTCACGGTTACCCTGGTGTTGGCCATAGCATCTGTTTTCCTCTTATAGGAGACAGCAGTTAGAGCTGGTTGGAAAATTTTCATTGACTCCATTTTCCAGTCAGAAAAAGCTTAACTGTTGAAACGTCTCATTTCCTTTTTATGGCACCCTTAACAGCACCATGATGAGCATGCTTTGGCATGCTCTATGTAGTTTGCCTGCTATACAAGTTTTGTATCACATATTTGGCTGAGCCTGTTACTTGGCTTGTAGTTCTGCAGTGTTTATGGGGGCTGCTACTTATCTCTCGCACTTAATACTTGCTTCAGCTGTCGATCTTTCTCTGATTCCTGCTGTACTATGTGCAGACAGGCAGGCCTGTATAGCTTCTTATTCTCCACCTGTTGCCTGTTTTGACAATCTGGATGCATTCTTTGAAAATCTTGCCTCAGTTTTGGGTACTGAGCCCTTCTAAAAATTCTGGCCATAGCATTTTTGCTGGTTGATGTGGCCATATTGATAGTGGCCTTAAAATCTATAGTAGACTATGATCACCCCTGAATAACTCCTCAGGTCTGATTTCCCATGTGCACCTACTGTGCCCACTGTTATGGGGGATGTTTATGTTCTATGCTTTTGCTCATGAAGACGACGATTTGCATCTAAGTGGTTTGCTGCCTACTACCGGCTGATTACTGTTACTGCCTGGCTATAAGTGGTGGAAGTTTTATTTGTGCTCTGTGGCTACTCCCATTACTTTTCTACCCACATAGTTTTGATATATAGTGCTTTCTGTACTGGATGAGTAACTTCATTGGTCTAGGCTTTGCTATGGTGTATGTCCTCTCATGACTCTTCTAGTGCAGTGGTCATTGTCTGCATGGCAGTGGTGGATGTGTAGTCTGCTTACCTCTACCTTACGTATAGTGGGCAGCTTGGTCATCTATTAGCTTCTGCCATGAGTAGGAGTCCCTACGGTATGCAACTTTCATTCTCTCTGAAAGTGCTCAGAATGTCATCCACAACCTTTCTTATTAATGGACACGCTACCATGGTCTCTAATAATACTGAATTGTTTGTTTGTGCACTCCCTTTGCCTATGTTCCTATTTGGCCCCATCTTTGTCCTGCCATGAATAATGTAATGCTGCATTTTACTGCTTACCTGTACTAGCATACAGATTGTTGCTTGTTTTCCCCACCCAACCCCATCCATAGATCTTTTATGCTGTTCCTGGACCCACTGAACTACTGCAGTGTACCCACTGTGGCTCTTAATACAGGTTTTTCTTCTTTAGGTTTCAGATGTTAAAACTGCTGATGAGAGGCTTATTCAGAATGCCATTGACTTTCACAGCATGGATCCTGAAGACAAATGGCTCCAGAGGTCACACCAACTAAAGGTTCCTTTCTGATGGCATATGAATGTGGTTTTTGGAATCTATAATACAAACAATCATGTTCTTGATTTTTTTTCTCCTCTAAATTTAACTTGTGGCAGATTTGTTACATTTGTTTCTTAATATTTCTTACTATTTTGAAATTCTTTTAATGGTTTTCATCTGAGGCTCTCAAAGCATTGCTGTTAATCATTTACATTGCACATGAAGTGTGCTAAACTGCACATCAGTTATGCCTCAGACCTTTGTAAATGCATTAATCATTTTACTGATGGACAAACCCAAGTGTAGAGAGACATTAAGTTTTTCGCCCAAGGCCACATAACGTGTTAGGAATCCTGGCTCCCAGCGCTACGCTCTAACTAATAGACCATATTTTTGCAAGAGAAATAGATAGGTAGGTGGTTTTAATATTATAGCTTTCTAATACAATGTCAAAAGAAATTAGTAGTTACCAAAGTAAAATAGGCTATTGAGAATACACCGAAATATCTTTTTAGTCCACAAATCTTGTGCACTAAAATCCATCACATACATTAAGCATGGAGGAAATGGACTAGATGACCTCTTGAGGTCCTTTCCAGACCTACATTTCTATGATTAAGTAGCATATAGTATCTGCTTTCATAACTATCTATCCTACTCTGTAAATCCCATGACTACCTACTGACTGTCCAACTAGATAGGTAGCTGGGGGATTTATAGAGTTGGAAAGATAGTTATGAAAGCACAAAAACTATGCTGCTAGATCCATATGATGGATTAAATCCACATTATACCTCCAATTTTCAAGGAATCCTAGATTTAAAAGGTCAAGTCTCTTTAGGATTATATGGTGCTACTGGCCCATAAAACTAATACATGCAGTGCTCACTGTTTTTGGTGAGTTACCAGGGCTTCTTAATTTCATTGTTGCATTCTGTGTTCTTTGGGGTGGGAGGGTGCTGATCTCTATCAAGGCGATGTTTTAAGACAGAAAATGTTTACAGGTGGAGGGAGATGCACCTTAGGGTCTGTCAAGCTAGGTAGTTACCTAAAATTGATAAATCTAGTAGATGGCTGACTGCCTTTCACACTAATGCAGTGAAATAATTACCTCTTGGAATAAGGCCAGAGTAGACGAGGTTTCATCACTGACAAAGACATATGCACTTTAGAAGCACCTGAGAAAGTAGAATCCAGCTAGAACAGATGTGAAAACTATTTATGGAAGCATCAATAATTAATTTAGTTTGCTGCTCAGACTATAGTGGTGAAGGAAATTGGGAGACTGTAAGGATCAAGAGATTCATTTTGTTCCTTTGCTCTTAGAATAAAGAGCAATGCAGCTTTAATGCGGAAGATTGTAAGTGGAGTACAGTATTTGAAAGATATTTAATTAGGCATAAATAAGGAATGGAATAGTCAGTTTAGGGCAAGAATAAACAGATTATGCTCTGAATAAGACCAAAAATAGTCTCAAACAGATATAAGGCCAACAGCACTTGATTCTCTATATCAGCAGAAAATTGTTCTCCTAAAGAAAATAAACATGCAGTAAAAAGAAACAAGAGTTAAGCAGTCCTAAAACAGAGTAGAAGGGGAAAGAAATCTGTCCCTAGTTAAGGGTTGGGCCATCAAGGTTATGTCTTATTTCTTATCAGGGCAGACTGTATTGTTAGTTTAGAGTCTAAAAATAATAACCAGAGTATAAGGTAAGTGTTAATGTTCATTGATAATCTTAGCTGAGAATTCCCATTTGCGTTTGATTGAGTTCTGTAACAATCTTGTTTTTTCCCAGTTGGTAAAATTTTCCCCACTTGTAAAAACAATCTTAATTTTGTTAATGAAGGTCTCTATTTGGGAATTTAGAAGCAGTGTAACAGTGACTTTCTCAAGAGGTGCTGGAGACAAAACAATAGGGACCAGCAACTGAAGGACCTTCTTATGCAGCAATTTCTGCCATGGAACTGACCGCTTGTTGTGTAGATGGGACAAAACCAAGTCTGCAGCAGTCTTATGGTACTGTGCTAAAGCCCTGTGGCCTAATTCTCCACTCACTGTGCCAGTTTTACGCCATGTTTCATAGGTTTTTAAGGCCAGAAGAGACCATTAGATTATCTAGACAGGCCACAGAATTCCACACATCCACCCCCATACTGAGTCCAACAGCCTGTTTTTCACCGATGCATGTTGTCCATAAAGAGATTCAGTCTCAAGTTGAAAAATTAAGAGATGGGGAATTCAGTACTTCCCTTGATAGTTTGTTCCAGTGGTTATTCATGTTCACTGTTAAATTGTGCTCTATTTCTCTCTCGAATTTTTTGGGCTTTAACTTCCAGTCATCGGTTTTCATTGTGCCGTTCTCCGCTAAATTGAACCTGGAATCAAATCTCTTACTGACCTTATAAAAACCAAGATGTTCCAGGAACATGTTCATGTTTTGTCAGATGCTGTGTGAAGTTCTGGCTTGAGGCAAGAGCAAGGCAATGCCATGGTAAAGGTGGAGGGGAGGGTCTGGAGTTTTCCATGATTTGAAATCTTCAAGTTGAGACTGGACATCTTTTTTGAAAGATCTGGTCCAGCTCAGCCAGTAGCCAGTGAGGTGGATGCAGGAGCTAGTGGGTGAGACTTCCCAGCCTGCGTGATGCAGGAGATCAACAGTCCCCTCTGGGGATATTTTTCCATAGGAAAGCTGGGCTTTTCTCCATTCATTGCATGTTCCAGGCTACAGCATTCCCCAGTGAGGCGCTTCTGTCACTTTGGAGAGAGGTTCCCAAGCATTTCCTTGGCAGCTGGCACATGTCACCAGATAGAGACCCTGCACCAGCTCTAGCTCTGCTCATTCCACTGTTTATATCTGCTTCTTGGTGTTGAAACCAGTCTAAGAGGAAGCATTAAGTGCTAGAATATTGGACTGTGTGCCAAGGTAATGCCACTTGAAGCTGACCGAGTTATGCTGGTGTAAAATTGATGTAACTGAGTGGAAGATCAGGCTCTCCTGGTCTTTACATGTCCATTTCCACCTGCTTTTACAGATCTTTTGTATGTTTAAGATAGTTATAACATGGGTCTGTCCCATCTACACAGGTAAAATCAAACATTGTGACAAGATATCCTGATATTGCAGAAATTGCTCTGCAGATGGCTCATAGGATAGTGGCCAACTGGGTCTATGTGACTATGAAAGGAGAAGTGTAAACAAATCTACTTATTTTTCTTGCAAGCTTTTCTTCTCCTTCTTGTTTTTGTGTTTTCCTTCTCCTTAGACACTTCCCCTCACACACAGGTGGCTATGAATCACAGGCTAAGCCCAGAATATTTTGTCAACTCCTAAAGGATTTGGACACCTAGTTCCCATAAAATTAATGGGAATTTGGCATCCAAATTGCCTAGCCTCCTTTCAAAAAATCTGTGCCCTAGTTTCTATATTAAGTTTATTCTGAAGTAGCTCAAGCAGATTGTTTGAATTTGCTGCTGTTCATTTGAGGCAAGAAGCTGTGCTCCTTAAGAGAGCAAACAGCAGTTTATGCTATTATTCATGGTAAAAGATGTTCTGTAGATTTCAAATTTCTTAGTGGAGGAAGAATTTTACAATGCTACTTGATCCATCTAAGTGGGAAAGCAATGGCTCAATCACAGTTTGTCCCTGGTTCATGCTGAGACCCTGGGACCCTTTCATAGGTGGCACCATCGGTAAAAGCACTAATCATTATGGAAGAGGTCTAGCTAACAAATTATCATCTTGGCACCAGGAGCCAGGATTCCCCAGTGCTAAAGCTTTCACCAAAACATTCAGCTCTACATGTGGACTTAATACCTACCATTAAGCAGTTACTCTGAGTGCATATGCTCTGTAGTGATTGCAAGTGTTGGTAACAAAGGAACCCTAGTGAGACTGGAGGATGAAATGGAGGATTTCAGTTCTGATGAAGATTAAATGGACTGAGAATGGCTTTGTATATTACCTCTAAGGGAACCCATATCTTGCCTCAAAAGGAACAACACCTGGTGCCTTAATTGGGAAGATGATAAATCTTAAGTAAACCCCAGATTTCAAGTACGTTGCTTTGGGTAGTGAGAGAAGTCCTGCTGAATTTAAATTCTGGAATTGTTTGTTTGTTTGTTGCTGGGATGACATGTTGCAGGATTTACAAGCACATGAATACTTGGTTTAACGACTGAAACAATTTAAACTGTGCATATTGACTTGTTTCTTTGTCCACTGCAAACAAGTCTAAAAAACTGCACCCTTCGAAAAGCTCTTGTGTAATCCAGACTGTGACTAGTGCTGTGGATATTAGCAATAAGGAAAGGGATGAATAACTTGAATTGAGACCACTACATGCAGACAATGACTCAAGGCAAATCTCTTACTATATAGAGAGAGAGCTTTAACTTGCAATTCCAAAGACATCTAAGGACATATTTACACTAAATAGATCACTCTGGGAAAATACTTATTTCATCAGAGTCTGGAGAGCTTCTGACCAATCATTTGTCAGAGCAAAGCTCTGCCATTAGCTCCTTTTACAGTGTTTTAATTTTTACCATGTGGGAGAGGGAAATAATTGGCTACCTATATTTTTATTTATTTCTACTAAAAACCACGACACTTCGACATACAATTAAAATCATAAACAGCAATAGCAAATCAGAAGTGAATGCCTTCTGTCCACCTCCCATTTCCAAATCTAGCAACAAAACAACCAGTAAACAGAGCCAAATTCTCTGCTGTTGTAAATTGGCACTCCTCTACTGAAGTCAATGAAAGTGTGTCAATTTACACCAGAAGAAAATCTGACTCCAGAATTTCTCCATTATACACTGGACCAGATCCTCGATTGATATAAATTGATGTAGCTTCAGTGACGTTAACAACTTTGCCACAGATTACAGTAGCTGAAGATCTGGCCTATTATACTTACAAGTATAGTAAAGTAAAAACAAGACAGTACTTCCGCATATGGTTAACCTTAAGTACATGCTTAAATCCCCCTGACTTCTATGGAATTTAAGCATATGTCCTGAATTGGAGCCTAAGGTTTGTGGATGTAGAGAAATCCCTGAATGAAAGGTGTTGGAGCAGCAAAAAGTATGTGTAAGTTTAGTATGTTTGTCTCTTCAAGATATCATTTAATATGCATGCAAAATGATCACCTCAGAGTTTCACAATACTCTTTTTAGGATCACCAAAATAAACAGCCACAGGCAGACAGAACAAAATTAAATCGAGTGCTAAGAGAGAGATCTTTACCAGCAAATGATGTCCAGCATCCACCAGGAAGACTAGCAGAACCAAGACCTCAGCATCACACACATCGCAATGTTTCAGAATTTGAGAACTTTCATATGGATTCCAACTCTTCTGAAGTGCTAGAACTTGAACAAGATGACAATAGTTCACTGCATAGTTGGTTACAAACAAATCCTTTTGTTGGTCCAATGACTCCTTTCATTAAGACTAGTTCAGCAGCAGATTGGGGGACACACTCAAATACTTCACAAAATAATTCAGATTTGGTAAATTGGAATCAGAAGCAAATCTCCACGAACTTGGCTTTATCTAGGCACCATCTTGAACTAACAATGCATAAAAACCCTACTGGGTTGAATTTATCTTCAGCATATACTAGTGAAGAAAACAAGAAATATCAGCACAACCCCGGAAACAGACCGCCGTATAATCAGCAACATTTGCAGAATAGTTATGTTTTGGAGCCTCTTCCACCTGATGGGTATGCCAAGGGTCACGTGCTCCTAAACCAGAAAAGCATCGCATCTACTTACAGTGCTAATTTTCAAGAATCAGTAAAAGACCAAGTTTCAACTCCGAATCATAGAAAGCAATTTTATATAGACAAGAGCCATCACAACAACTATGCTGCCAATAGCTTGTGGTAAGGACCCATGTTTCAAAATGTTATTAGCATAATGGTACATGATACCAAGGAAGTCATATTAGAGAAGGCCAAGGAAGTGTTCAGAAAAATCTGATACATTCAACCACAGTAATTTATTCCTAACTTCTAGTTTGTTCATTAGTGTTTGATTTAATAAACAGTTTAACACTATTTTTAAGCTTTCAATACCCTAGCCATTCCTACACATGAAATTCCCATTGATCTTAGTGTGTTTGTACATGCAAGGACTGCAAGATCAAGCTTAAGAATGGTTACTGAAAAGCTGGCATTAAAGAGCAAAACAAAAAAACGTTTAGTTGCATCATTCATAAACTGAGTCTAGAGAAGCCTATTTGTACTCAACTTGGTTACACCAAAACCCAGCTTGTGGCAATGCAGAATGAAAATCCCAAATTGCTCTAATGCAGTTCAGTGCGCTGCCACTCATGTTTCAACACTTGTTTCACTGGTATTCTTCTTAACAATCTTCCCCAATTGCAGGTCCACCAGAAGTGGTGCTCGTGTATATAAGGTACAAGCAGCTGGGCGCATTTTTACCAATCCTGCACTTGCTCTGTTTATCAAATTCCCATCAAAGTCAACGGTTTTGTGTGCAGAAGTTCTTAGAAGAATAAAATATGACACCACTATCATGAAAAAGGCATGAGAGGTTAAAACTATTTGTATAGAGCTTGTATGTGGATTGATGGTAATAAATGAAAATTCTACTTTAAATGAACACAAAGGGCCTGATTTTCACCTGCGTAAAAGAACTGATCCAAAGCCCACTGAAATCAATGGATATCTCTTCATTGACTTCAGTAACTTTGGATCAGGCCCAGCGTTTGCCACAGTTGACTTCATGAAGTTATTCCTGGTATACATGAGTGTGTGACTGAGATCAGAATCAGTCACAAATGGTCATGTTCACTTCTGATGTTTTGAAAGTTTGCGTGGTGTGACGGGGCCGGGCCAGATAGCTACAGGAGAGTAATAGAAGGCAGATATATTAGCCCCAGGCTAAGCAGTTCCCTTTTCTCTGGGTAAGGTAACAGGGAAGGTTCCAGAACAATCAGGAACCTTCTGGAGACAATTAAGACAGGCTGATTAGAACACCTGCAGCCAATCAAGAAGCTGCTAGAATCAATTAAGGCAGGCTGATCAGGACACCTTGGTTTTAAAAAGAAGCTCACTTCAGTTTGTGGTGTGCGTGTGAGGAGCTGGGGGCAAGAGGCACTAGGAGCTGAGAGTGAGAACGCGGACTGTTGGAGGACTGAGGTGTACAAGCATTATCAGACACCAGGAGGAAGGTCCTGTGGTGAGGATAAAGAAGATGTTGGGAGGAGGCCATGGGGAAGTAGCCCAGGGAGTTGTAGCTGTCGCACAGCTGTTCCAGGAGGCACTCTAGACAGCTGCATTCCACAGGGCCCTGGGCTGGAACCCGGAGTAGAGGGCGGGCCCAGGTTCCCCCCAAATCCTCCTAACTCCTGGTCAGACACAGGAGTCGTCGACCTGGACTGTGGGTTCAGGAAAACGGCCAAGCAGAGGGCTGCTGTGAAGCTCCAAGGCGAGCAAATCCGCCAATAAGCGCAAGACCCACCAAGGCAGAGGAGGAACTTTGTCACAGTGAGTAGTTCAATGAGTTGAAAATGTACCCAGCAAACAATATCTAACGGTTTTTAAAATATGTTTGATTAGCAATGACAATTTCAGTTTACAGATTGCTTATTGGGGCTTTGCATCTAGGTATGAGTAAACACAATTTCCTTCTTGCATTTTGTTTTTTTTTAAATTGAGGCCATCCCAGTCGTCTGCTCAGAAGCCGCTAGCAGGCCCTTCTCCAACCACACAACTTATACAGACAATGGAACAACATCATCAAGAAATCTCTCAACTGGAAGACACTCACCTTGCCGAAAGGCAGTTCTCTGGCTTGTTTCCACCTGTAATCCCAAGGGTAGAAAGTGACTCGGAAATTAACACAGAAAGAAGTGAAGGAAGCCAAGTGAAAATTAGTCGCAGCAACTCAGAAGGGTACCTGCTACAAATGGAAAAGCAAAAACAGCTGAAAGAAAAAGGGACTAGGAAGGTAAGAAAATATGGGTGAGTTAGAAACCAATTTTATATTCCTGTTTCCTCCTCTGATTAAATTAGTACTTTGTGCTCGTTATCCATAGATCTCAAAGCACTTTAAAAGGGGTATTATTTCCATTTTACAGAAGGGGAATTGATTCTCTGGGAGGTTAAGTGACTTGCCCAACATCAAACAAGTCAGTGGCAGAAGCAGATTTGGAAAAAGAAAATAACTAGTAGCTGATCTGACCAACTCACTCCCACACTTTATATTCCAAGGAGTTGAAGCAATTCACCACTGCATCTTTCCACTCCACTTTTCAGAGAAGGTCACCTGTTAGAACACATGGGGAACTGTTTATCCTTTAAGTTTTTCCTGTGGTAAAATGATTGAGAAAGAAGCCATTTGTATAGGACAGCAGGTAGCCAGGCCGCAAGTCTGAATAAGTTATTATCCTTGTCATGCCCATTTGCCAGTCAGATCAAATCTCTTGGTTTCCAAGGGAATTCAAACTGAACAACATTAAAAGTTACAGGATTTGTGAAGCTAATGTTATAAACATTATTCCAGGTCTACTGACAATCCCATTGTGATCACTTATTAAAACTGAGCTCTTTGTCTCTTCTGTGTGTCCGAATTTCATACTGTAACCATTTACCACTGATGCAATGGAACGGTATAAAGATATCCTTGTACACCCATGACAAATTAAATGTTTAAGAAGTTAGCTTGTCTGCACTGAGAAATGCAGCTAAGCTGGAATAATTACTCATGTGCTTCATCTAGGAGGCAGTTCGTGTATTACTGCTTGACTGCCTCTAAGAAGGGTTAGCTGGATTAAGATAGTAACTACAGGGCAGATTTCCTTCCTTTTCCATTCCCTGTGTTCCAGCCATTGTTTTTGTCCTTTTTTCCCCAATAACTCTCACACTTACAAATCTGAAGAATTTTGTGGAGAATCGGATTGTTTATGTCGCGCGGTACAACCCAGCTTCTCACATTAAACAGAAGTCCATACAAACACACCAAGGTCAAATTTAATTCACACACATATTTTGGCTTTGAAAATATATTGGAAATTACTTCAGCTGCTTGAGAAAAACCTGGCTTTATTCCATACAGCTAAATGGTTAACTCCCTGTATTAGCTTCAGTTTAAAAAACGATTATATAATTTTTCCATAAAAGAGTTTGGATTCTTGACTCAAAAAAAAGTCTAATATAATTTCTAATGTAATATAGATTTTATTTGTTTGCCAGTTGGGTCTGACTTAAAACATGTTCATCATTTGAAGAAAGTACTTTTTTTGCTAGTAGAAATTCTTTTGGCATTTCTGTAGCCACTCCATTATTGGAATTACTGCAGTAGAAGGCCAGAAAGAAAATAAAGCAAGCCAGAGTCTGGATTATTAAGCGTTTTCATTGGCAAGCTTTTAAAATTTAGCCCAGCTATGAACGTTAATTGAATCTCTTTGGAACAGATGTATCGAGATCCAGGAATGCCCTCCCCAGACAAGCCAGAAAAGCACCTTATCCTGGAGCGAACATAATGGATGGTTAGAAACGGATTAAGATGAAGTTCTGGCTCCCCACACAAACAACCAAGAAAAGGGTTTTGCACAGGGGATCAGCACAGGGGCAGAAGAGAAGTGAAAGAGCACCCAAGCAGGAGGATGGGTGCAGTGCATTTGTGTGGGCTCAGTTGTGGCCATTGCAACAAAAACATAGTACGTGATCCCACTAGCAATGACCTTCCTTTTTGCCTGCTGCAGCCAATTCACTTGTAAAGGTTTTGTTCCATGCTAGTACTGTTAATTTTTCACCTTTTTAGGTGAATGGTTGCTTCCAACTAAAAAGGGTCAAGGGGTGCTGCTCACAACACTGTCATGTGGCCAAATGAGGTTCCATATAGCGGTATTATTGGGAAAGAGTAAACTTTGCAATCCCTAGTTATTGGGAACTGGGTTCAAAGTCAACCTAATTAGAAGGTTCTTGTGTTACTTATGGCATTTCTGAGAATGTATAAGGGCACTCAAAAGATGCAAGAAGAATTTGACTAGCCTCATGGGAAAACAGTGTCTAATTGTCATGCATCACAATATAATATTGTAAAGGGGAGTCATTTTAGAAAATATTACATATTGTTTTCATAAGATTAAGGGAGTCTCTGGCAACAGAGCACTTTCTTGATTGGATTTATGAGCTGTGGGTTTTGTTTTGGTAGGGATTTTTTCCAAGAAGTTTGTTAATTTAAAGCTACTTGGCCAGATTTTTCTCAGTTACATCAATGTAAATTAGGGGCAACACTGATGACTTGAGTGTAAATCAGGAATAATTTAACTTGTGTAACTGAGATCAGAATTACACTCAGTCTACCCAAACCATCTTCTAGAGCCTCTGTCTTTGTCCCCAGGTCTTCCTCCCCTTCCTTCCATTCTGGGTGAAATCCTGACTCCACTAACTCTTGCCATTGATTTCAGTAGGTCCAGGACTCCACCTTGTGCCTTCTCTCCCACTGTCACTGAATTTGCTATTCCAGGCACAAGGTCTTTAATTAGTTACCAGGAGGAGGAGGATACATATGAACTTCTCTTTTATCACCAAAAGCAGGGTGTTTTCTGTAGTTTTGCTACAAGACTCTGTTCAAAAGTTCTGTTAATGTAATAACTGCCAAATGCATTGTCATTTTAAGCTGTTTAACAGAATCCAGCTCATGAAATGTAAATTACAAATTACAAAATGGAGTTTAGCCTGTTAGTCATTCAAATGTCCACATAATATGGGAAATTTCTAAAGGAATATTATCACATGAAACAAATTATGTTTACTCACTTTAATTTATAGTTGGACATACCTGCTCAATGTAAAGACACCTTTAAGACTTTTGCATTACTGAGGGAGATTTTTGCCTTCCATACCAAGTTAAAGGAAGATGTATTTGATTCTGTCTTTAGTCTTCTAGGCCAAGAAACTACATGAATCTGGATGTGAAGCTCGGAGGCCTTGGACCCGACTATGAAGCAGTCAGAGAGAAAGTAAGTGTTACAGATAGCATTTTGTCTGCTTTTTATGTTGCAAAGTTATGCAAAGTAAGCTGATGTAGAATGCAATGGAGATGAAAGCACAGTTGATAAAGTAACTAAAAACTGCCTGGTAGATTATACCCTTAACTCAAGCTAAATATTAAATGCAAAGGGGACCATCCTTCTGAGTGTTAGGAAAGCAACTAGTACATAGGTGGGCATTACCATCAAATAAATGATAAAGATAATGTTCTAGTCAGGCATCTGTTAACCACTCCATTCATGAGTCCAACTAAGACAATAAAACACTAAGATCTCCTCTACCAGTTAGGCTAAGAAGTAGCCCCTTTTTTTTTTTTTTTATGAGCATCTCTCTTGCCAGATGCCCTCTCTCATCCATATAAACAATATTGATGCAGGTCCATGGCCACCTAGCACATCATGCCTGTCATTAGGCTGCACTCCATTGCCCTTTGGAATTTTTTTATAGAACACTCAAACTTCCAGCCACCTGTGCTAAAGGAGACTCTCCTTAGCAATATAGAGTTTGTTATACAGTTGAACAAAGCTGATCATCCATTAGCACTCATTCACACTAGCCAGTTCATTGCAAAACTAGGTATAAATATATGCTAGATTTTGAGACTTGGTTTGCACAAATCCACAGCTAATTTTCATAGGTCAGAAGGGACCATTGTCATTATCTAGTCCAAAGTCATGCATAATATAGGCCATAGGATTTCCCTGAATTAATTCTTACTTCAAGTGGTTGACCTAGAATATGTCTGTTAGAAAACCCATCACAACCATTGATAAGTTGTTTCAGTGGTTAATTACCCTCATTTAAATATATACTTTTTATTTCTAGTCTGAATTTGTCTAGCTTTCAACAATTGGATCAACTTCCAGTCATTAGAGCTTGTTATATCTTTGTCTGCTAGATTAAAGAGCCCTTTACTATCAAACTTAACTATAAGGCATGTTTTCCAATCTTTTAATTATTCTTGTGGCTCTTCTCTGAACTCTCTCAAATTTTTCAACAGCCTTCTTGAATTGTGGACACCAGACCTGGACACTATATTCCAGCAGCTGTTACACCAGTGCCAAATACATATGTCATGTAACCTCCATATTCCTACTCAATATTCCCCTGTTTTTACATCCAAGAATCACATTAGCCCTTTACAGCCACAGCGTAGCACTGGGAGCTGATCTTCAGCTGATGAGCCACCATGAACCCCAAGTCTTTTTTCAGAGCCCCAGCTTCCCAAGATAGAGACCTCCATCCTGTAAATATGGCCTACATTCTTTGTTTCCAGATATGACCTTTCATTCAGCCATATTAATACATATGATTGCACCTAGCTTGGCAAGTGATCCAGATCACTCTATAACAGCGACCCATCCTCCATTATTTACCACTCCCCCAATCTTTGTGTCATCTGAAAACTTTATCAGTAATGACTGTTTTCTTCCAAGTCATTATAAAAATATTAAATAGCATAGAACCAAGAACAGATCTCTGAGGGACCCCATCAGAAATCATCCAATTAATTGTAAAATAGAGAATCATCAGAGAGCTAACCCCACTTCAGTAGGTTGAGACCTAACCCCACTTCAGTAGGTGCCATTGATTTTGTATCATTCTAGTTTCTTAATCAAAACTTCTCATGGTACCAAGACATCTACAGTTATTACATCAACACTGTATTGTAGTAGCACATCCTTACCTCGTGGGCACCCCGTTGTCTCTGGTAGCAGAGTTGCATGGGGTCTTTGTCGGTCTCCCCCACCTGGGCTCTCCTTTGGACCTACAGCTTTCTCAGTCTGTGTCTTCTCCTGACTCCCCTCTGGGTGTTCTGTGGCTTGACCCTCCAACCAAGGGCAGGTCTACTCTACAACTGGCATCGCTGCTCTGAGATTGAGCCACCGGTGGTCGATTTAGCGGGTCAAGTAAAGACCCGCCAAATCGACTGCAGATCACTCTCCAGTCAATCCCTGTACTCTTCTCGTCAGGGGTAGAGTAAGGTAAGTCGACGGGAGATTTTCTCCCATTGACCACCCCTCACCATGGCATAGACCCCACAGTAACTTGACCTAAGGTACATCGACTCCAGCTACGTTATTCACGTAGCTGGAGTTGCATAGTGTAGGTCGACATACCGCGGTAGTGTAGACATAGCCTAAGTCACAAAAATGTCTAAACCCTTTCGAGGGCTGCAAGAGCAAGTCCAAATAAAAGTCCAGACAAATCTTCAAACTAACAGCCCTTCCACCCCTCTTGGGCTTCACTGTAGTTCTCTTGTTGACTCTACCTCAGGGCTCCCCCAGCAGGAGCCTGAACTGCTAAGGTAGTTTGTTTCTCTATTTCCTGTCTATTAAACCATATCCCAGGGCTTCTCTCCATGAGAGAGACCTGTCTTCTATTTGGGGTTCTTTCCCTTGCCTTACAGATGATGGAATTACACCCCATCACACGCTTTTATCAGCCCAATTTGCAGTCTCATAAAAAAAATCAAGTCAGTTTGAGAAGATCTATTTTCCATAAGCCTGTGCTGAGTAGCATTAATTATATTATCCATCTAAACTCTTTATTAGAGTCCCATATCAGCCGTTCCATTACATTGTCGAGGATCTATGTCTGACTGACAGCCTACCATTACCAAGGTCATCTAATTTACCTTTTTAAAAAAATATTGGCACAACACAAGCGTTCTTCCGGTCCTCTGGGTATTCCCCAGTGTGCTAAGACTTGTTCACTACCAACATTAAGAGTCCAGATTTCCTTTGATATCATGGATATCTGTCCAGAAAACTCATGCATGCACATAAAAAGGGAGAAGTGTATAATAGAAGGAGAGGTTTCAGAGTAACAGCCGTGTTAGTTTGTATTCGCAAAAAGAAAAGGAGTACTTGTGGCACCTTAGAGACTAACCAATTTATTTGAGCATGAGCTTTCGTGAGCTACAGCTCACTTCATCCGAGTGAGCTGTAGCTCACGAAAGCTCATGCTCAAATAAATTGGTTAGTCTCTAAGGTGCCACAAGTACTCCTTTTCTTTTTGCGAATAGAAGGAGAGACAATTGTATCTTTGATAGACTCATCCCTCTAGTTTTGTAGTTCCCAGAAGCAGGTATCCATTAAAGGAATTTTCAGCAGGTGAGTATCCAGCTGAAGGCAAGTCCAAACTACTTTGTTCTCCCTGTGGTAGTTGAAGTGTACATGAATGACTTTAACATGATTGAGCTGCACTGTCATTCATGTGCAGAAGACAGTCTCCTTGAACCTTGGAAGAGAAAATGAAAGTAAATACAGTAGAGTAAGTGCAACAGGGAAGTAGCTGAATGCACATCACTCACTGTTAAGCAAACCTCTGATCTTACTGTGCCAAAGAGGAGATGATTGTCAGAAAAAAGTTCTGAATGAAAAATATCATTTGACCTCTTCACTGCCAGTGACTTTACTGGTTAGATTAAGCAGTTGTACATCTCAAGAGCTGTAGAATATATCCCATGTACTCTTGAACCTCACTGATAAGATAACTCTTTATATTTATATAGTGTCCTTCACAGAGCATTGCATAGCTAAAATGATAAAATCATCAGCCCTTTGGAGCAATTTAAAAGCTACAGTGATTTCTTCAGCCTTGCAGTAAATGACATAGATTGGTCATCTCAAATCTATATCAATAGAGAGAGAGATGCATTGCTACAAAATGGCCTTCCTCCATACAGCAGAGGGTTCTGTCTCTTTTTAACACTTTGGCAACACTTATATAGCTTGTCACTCCCATAAAGTGTTATTAAATTGCAATGGGGGAAAAAAATTGAATGTTGACACCAGCTCCTGACTGGGGCAAACTAAAATACCTTGCTGAGCCTGAGAGTAACAAATGGTTGGAAACAGAGACAGAAAATGGGTTAAATAAAGAAAATAAAGAATTACAGTTATCTAACCTTGAAAAACTAGATTTTTAAGACGACCTTGCTGAGCAATGATTAGTGGCATATCTATTTTAAACAGCCTCACAGGCGTAAATGGGAAGGTCCGGCAGTAAAGGGGTCTATTAACTGGTCCCTCAAAACTTTAAATAACCATTTCATTTTTCATTTGCCAGATAGAAAAGTTAAATAAGCAAAAGGAATATGCAAAGCAAGTTAAGGAGCACAACATGAAGAATGTTGCTACTGTGCAGAAACCACCAGCAAAACCTCAGATCAAGTCATCATTATCAAGACATAAGGTCAGACTAGAAAGCATCTCATTAGATGGGGCTAGAACTCTCATTAGAGTGAGAGGGAGAGGGCTTGTCCATGGGCCTCAGAGAACCATGGAAGTTAACTCCTAGAACAATTTTGGGTTAGATGCCAAAAGATAGAGGGTCTCCCACTGCCGTTTTTATTGTCTTTTAAAACAATCCCAGACACTCCTAATACAGAAAGTTGCTCAAGGTCAGTTACCTATTAATTATTTTTGTACAATCCTCATTGTATTCCTTCTCTTGTCAAGAAATTTATCAGCCTTCAAACTAACCAGAAATGAAATTTCCAAGGGACTCCATTAAAGTTAGTCTAAGCTTTGATTTGAAAGTCTTCAAGAGTATCTCAGCGTCTTATTTATCATTTTAGGTCTTTTGTAATGTAATTTTTGGGGAACAACGGGGGGGTCTATTATAGAACAAATCTCTGTTTTCTGGGGCTATGGAACTCACTGTCACGAGATATCATTCAGGTCAAGAGCTTAACAGGAATGAAAAACAGATTTGATATTTATAAGGCATGTGAGAATATACAAAATTATAATACTATTTTTGTTATTAAAAAGTTTTGGAAGGGATATAAACCTGCATGCTTCAGGGCATAAAGACAACCTCTAACTAATGATGGTCAGGAAGCAATTTTCCTTGGGGCAGATTATTCGATAACTGCAGAGTTTCTTGCACCTTCCTCTAAAGCATCTGGTACTAGTCACTACAAGATATGGAATTATTACACTCTTAATCTGGTCTAGTATGAAAATTCTTATGTTCTCCTGCCATTTTAAAATTGTTGTTCTGATTTTATTGTCAATTTCAATCTTTATATTTTTAGGCTCTGGAATATGCTAAGAAGATTCCTAAACCAAAACCTTTCTCAGCAAAACAATCAGATGAAGAACCAAAAGAGGAAAGAACTCTAGCACATAGTTTAAAAGCACAGAATTTACCTCAGATTTCTTCACTGAAAAGTCTGCAAAACAGACATGAAATAGAGAAGCAAGTTGTGGCTGCTTTCAAAACCCTTCACATTTTATAATAAATTTGAAATTATTAGGGAGCTGTAGAGGGTAGACAATATCTGAACTGTTTATGTGGTGCATTAAATTACTTATGTTTCCCAGATACAGTATTTTAGGACTCCACTACTTAAATAAGAGCCTCTACCATCAAAAACATTGATTTCAAAAGGTGAAATATTTTCAGATCAATTGCCCATATTTTAGTCCAATATTATTATAGCCAAATTATTTTTTTAAATGTAATCTTTATTTTAGAATTGTGCTTCTTTTTATTCCATTCTTTCCTTCCTTGGAATATCCTGATTAAGCTGCTGCTTCTTTCTGAGCAGTTTATCCAGAAAGAGTAGGGAGTGAATTTAGGTGCCTGCAGGGTTCAGCAGGAGTTTTGTGAATTGTAGTGGAACCTAAACCTGGGACTTTGATGCCTAAACATGTGTGAATCTAGATCTGTGTGTCCTATTAGTCTTTCCCAAAATGCTCATTCTTTTTATGCTGTGAAATAAACCTACAGCTACTTACAAAAACATTTTTTATATTTTACATAATGAACTTTTAAAAGTATTTCCATCAAATCTAAAAACAGTCTCAGTGACTCTGTGTGTGTGTGTATCTATCGTAATTGCTTTTCTCTTAATATAACTTGAACTGAAATGAAAACAGGAACATTTCCATGATGCTCACTGAGCCATTGACCCAAGAGACATGAATTAATGATAAAATATTTTAGCTATGGCCCAGGTTTCCATGACTGGGGGTCGACAGGCGTTAGAGGGTTAACAGCAGTATTTGGTTAAAGAGTACCTTATGTGTATATGGTACGTCGAAACACATAAGCCTTAGACCCTGCTCCAAAGCAGCTTCCAGCTGGTTTTAGTAGACAGACAAGTACGATACAATGGTAAAATAAGAGACACCCAAGAGGGCAGAGGAAGATCTGCACAGGAGGCTTCACTTACAGAGAAGGAAGAGAGAGCAGTTGGCCTTGATACATCAGCAGTTGGATCCAAAGCCCCCCTGAACTCAATGGAAACACTCTCTCTGCCTTCTATGGGCTTTCAGTCATGGCCCAGGAAGGGGAAGCCGTTCCAAATATAGCGGTGGCACGAATACAGCCATAAAGCTGAGAGTGGGAGAAGGTGACAAAGGAAACAACTGAGAGGATTTGTAGGAGCACAGAGTGAGTAGCAGGAAAGAGAGCTGAGATGTAGAGCAAGGCAAAATTGTGAAGACTTTTGAAGGTGAGGACAGAGAGCTTGAACTGGATGCGATAAAAGAAAAGAAGCCAGATTCAGCATCGTCCCATGGCCAGGGCACTGGACTAGGGTTGGTTACTTGATTTCTGTTTCCAGTTCTGCCCTGGACCTGCTGTGTGATCTTGAACAAGTCACTTCACCTCTCTATACATGGGTACAGCCCCTGCTTCCCCCACCCCAATCCCCTGGGTATGTATTCAGATAGCTAGCCCAAGCTGCTGCGTGTTCCCAGCTATCCTGCTATTTTTAGTGCACTAGCTCAAGCAAAGCTAGACTGTGCCTGTCTTGTTTGAGCTGGGAAGCACAGTCCCAGCTGCAGTGTATATATACCCAAAATATATGTACAGTGCCTAGCACAGTGGGGTCTGATCTCTTTGGAGTCCTTATATGCTACATAATAAAAATAAACTAGTTAAGAGCTATAAGGAGGGAAAGATGTGGTCAGAATGATGGAAAAGGAAACTGTTATCAGTTCCTGTAAGGAAAAGACAGAATTCTGAACCAGTCCCAGCAGTTAAGCCAGAGCTGATTCTTACATGTTTTATATAATGTAATAATCTCTCATTTTTAGACAGACAATCTTACAGGTTTGGGACCTTAACAAGTTTTTAATTTAAATACTTGTACCAGTTTACTTTTAAATTAAATCTGGCACATCTTAAATTAAAAAAAAAAAAGGGGGGGGGGAGACATCAACCTCATTGTATTACCTTAACATCTACAACATTTTCTCTTTCTTTAAAACAAAGAGGAAGCTGTTGGCAGGTTATCCAGGAACGAAGCCAAACTAAAATACTCCCAATAATGAAGAAAGTAAAACATGAACCAAACACAGGCCATCAATAGGGATACAATAATTAATTATGCAATTGTTGCTTCATTATTGGTTAATGATTCATTGTCACAACATCACAGCAAGCCCAAGAGTTTAGAGCCTCATTTAGGGCAAGAAAATGCAGACAAGTAATGGCTCTTCAGCTAGACAATCTGTTATTAGATAGGAGTAGGTTGAAGATTCACTGAGAAACTGAGCAGAACACTGAGGATAATCAAGAACTACACTTTTGATAGGAAACAGCCTTTAACAGATTAAGTGTAAGATAATAAACAGATGTGATTCTTATGATGGTTCTGTTTCTTTAACTTGGTAAATGAAGAATTAAATCCACAGATGAAATGTGATAAGGAAACGCACAAAAAAGGAGTTTTGGAGAACACATACTAAAAATCTTTTTAAAATAGGCAATTTCTGCAGGTTCTTGTTGACTCTTGGGTTTGTTTTCATCATATGTTGTCTTAGGGTGACCAGATGTCCCAATTTTATAGGGACAGTCCCGATATTTGGGGCTTTTTCCTATATAGGCTCCTATTACCCCCCCCACCCCCGTTCCAATTTTTCACACTTTGTCTGCTCACCCTATGTTGTCTGCATAATAGATATAGAATCATGGTCCTGGCTCCATAGTTATGATTGCATCTAGGTTCCATCATAAGCCCCACCCCCAATATATTTAACCATGAATATTTGGCCTGAAAATTCCCTGATTTACTCTCAGGGCAAAGGAGAATTTTCCTGACAAGTTTGAGAAGCAAAAACAAAACAAACAAAAAAATCCAAAATTCATCCGGATTTGAAATTTTGACCAGTATCTAAAGTTTCTTTGGATCCTACTAGTCCCAAACTGCCTAGTTACTACCCCTTCAAACCTTTCTGTGCAGTTAAATCTCCTTGAAAACAAATGTGCGAGTTCACTTTAAAAGAAAACAAGTTGTAATTAAGGCAAGTCATTAACAATAGCTGTATCTAATCAAAATGATTATACTGTATGTGTGGGAGCCGAGGTCCATGGAATCCTCTGGCCTGAGCAAAGTTTGGTCTTGCTGAAGAAGGTGTACAGTGGAAGGGTTAATTGGGGACTACAGCGGAGAGAGTGAACGTGAAAAGCTTAAGTCTCTGTGCCTGCACTGAGTTTTCTGTAAAAGGTAAATATGGAAATGAGTTCCAAGAAATATTTTTAGTCTTATAATGGGCTAATTCTGGACTTTTGAATAGTTGGATGCAAACTCCTGCTAGGAGTTGAAGGTAATGTCACAAGTTAGCAGGAAGATCATTTTGCTTAATAAAGACAGGCCACTGAAAGACTCCAGTTGATGTCTGTGGGCTTTGAATCCCACTCTAAATTATTGAAATCAATCCATGATCTCAAACACTAGGAAACCAATGGCTCCTAGAATTGACAAGGAGTTAAGCATCAGTGCCGTATGTCATTGGAAAGGTTGCTTCCCCTCGATTTGAAACGAGGCCTTGATTACTTGGGCCTGGATTCAACGAAGTACTTAAGCATGTGCTTAAATGCTTTGCTGAACGATTACCTTAAAACAGGGAGACTTACAATCATTTTGGTCTATTTACCATAAATATTATGGAAGCACTGGAAACTTGCACGAGAAAATTCTCTGCATAGAGGTTTGGTTCAGCTTACGTGCAAAACGTTTTGCACTTAAAAGTACAGCAGCAGGGCAACCGTTTTGCAGCTTTCAGTGGATCCAGGACAAAATTATCCCTTCTTGGATTTTGGATTTGCTCTCTCTTACCTCTTGGCCCTTCAGCTCTGTTTAGCCTCAGGATTTACGTTACACAGACAGTTCCGTACCAGGCCAGTTATAATTGTTATCCTACTTATATTTTTTAAATAAAATGGTAACACTTTGAAGCATTTCTGGAGAAGGCCATAAACTTGTTGCCTCTGCTTTAAAGTGATAATCCCCCTTTAATACAAACCCGAAGCACCTATTTTTAATTGAACTTTTAGATGAATATCAAAGAGCTATTTATGTGTATCTAATATTTTAATTAGAGTATATTCTCAATTTAACCCATTAAATCCTCTTTGATGATCTCCATGTTTAGTGCTTAGCCCCAGATGCTAGAGATAATGAATACTGGACCTTTTGATTTAATGAGAACTTCTGCCTTTCTAGCCTGTCTCCCTTTGTATCCTTTTTTTCCCTCCGCGCTATAGAATTCAGTTAATTGAAGGAGTCTCTCACCACCACACATTAAGGAGTCGAAATTAGCATCCCTTTTCTGATTAGAAAATGCAAGCAGACATTTTCCCTTTGATCTCAGGATTGAGTTGAAGTAGGCAACAGCCCCCTGAAAATGAGCTGATGGCCTTATTATTAGGCTAAAATGCAGATGCGTCCGTGTGTTGCAAAATGCTTAATGTCTTAATTGATCACCTTCCTCACTGTTTGTCATCCTAGTACCTTTTATAGCTCATGTAAACTCGGGGGGGTGTGTGTTTTTTTTAAATAGTGACCTTTTAAGGAACATTAAAGGGCACCCACCAATATCCCCTTACCCCCAATATTAAAATTGTATCAATAAGTCCTGTCATTAATAGGATGCTTCCCCATGGCAAATAAATAAATAGTCCCATGAACACGATCATCTTGCAGACCATTTGCAAAGGACTGTATTTTCCCAAGGTGAAATTTGAAAAGAGGTTATTTTCAGTGTGCGCGCAAAGGAAGTCTTCTGATCTGCTTTAATAGTAATGCAAATTCTTTTTGCACCAAACAGATAACAGTGGTACAAAAGGGACTGCACAAGTAAATGATGAGCCTCCATCTGCTTAAAAGCAAAGGCCAAAACTTAATGTAATTCAAATTAGAAAGACAAAGAATTTAATAAGAAATTGGCTTGAATTTTGCATTAAGCATTCGGGACCACATTAAGGTTGACTCAGGCCCTTACTCTCATATCGAAATCAATGGAACTACATGGCAATGCATAGAGTAAAGTGTTACTCACATGAGTATGGGCAGTAGAATCAGGCCTTCAAACAATTAACCACCATGCCTCTGAGATTGTGCCTCCTCGGGCTCTGTAGTGTAGCGGCGGGGAATGTTAGAGCAGCATACCTCCCCTGGAACTTTCTCCTGGCTACTTTCATTCTAGAATACATCATAGAGCTGGATCCTTCCCTCCATGAGCCAGACCTAATTGTTGTAAAGTCAGTAACACGCACTGAAACAGCTTGTGTCTAGCTATAACTCTTGGCCAGGTGGTAGGGGTCACCTTGCTGAGGTGGGGATACCTGAATGCTATTTACATTAAGGATATCTAAAGAATCTCACTTCCCTCAAAAAAGGAACATCTATTAAATCTATTTTTATTTCTGGACGATATAATTGGTTTTATGCAAATGTTATATGGGCATAAATATCTGGGATTCCCTTATATGGAATTAGTCTTCCTACTGTTTCCTTTCTTGGTTTCTTTCAGACCCCTCAAAAACTCTCTTTTTTGGGGGGGGTTGTCCCCCAGTTAGGTTTGATTGTTGTAGGCAAAAAATATTATGCCGTGAAGCTGAAAAAGTGCCTGAAAAATAAATCCACATGCTAATGACATTATTCACCACTGGAGATCACGTATTTAACCAAAGGGACAATAAGTTTGTTCTATTTTCTACAAATTCCCATCTAAAAGCCACATTCATCCCTGGCATGCTCAATGGAGTTGTCAGATTGCCAGTGAACTCAGTGGAATTACAGCAAGGAAGCCCATGACTAGGGCTTCTAGGCTGTATGCAAATACAAATAATAAATAATAATAATTTGGCCTAATGGTTATACTTAGTCAGATCTGAAAATTGGCACACAGATCCAAATTGAATGCGGCCTCCTTGCACAACCGTTGCATGTGATGGTGAGACAAAAATACAAACACCTCAGCAGAGTAGGAAAATTAATTTCACAAGGAAATAATGAAACATACGGGGACAAATTCATGCGTCTTGAACGGAATTACACCAGGGATGGATTTGACTCAGATTGGAGGTTTTTAGAAAGCAAAGCAAACCATTATCCCTTGAGTTTAATAAGTGAACTCCAGTAGAAAGTAATGCCTTTATTGGTCTGTGGCTACAGGCTTACGTCAGTGGTGTTATACCAGTGATAAACTTGGTCCAGTGCCTTAAAAATCTTCCACCACTTCCCTTTGGAAACAAATTCTGCAATAGATGGGATCACCAGAGGGAAGTATTTCCTAATACTCAACCTAAATACTCCTGGCACAAGAATAAATGAGTACGTGCACTAGAGGGTGAGATATGCTGGTTGATTTGGCTACAGAAGAGGTTTCTGTGAACACGGAGTGGTGTACAGGGACAGTATATACAGAGTGAAGCTCTACTGATGACAGCTGGCAAGAATGAGTTAAAGAAGCTTGCCTTACAGAAGAGGGCTGTTTTGAATGGAAATACAACTGAGCCAAAAACATGGATACAGCAGATGCTATAAAACTACCCAACAGCTCGTGCAATCACTGATTGTAAGTGCAGAGAGGGCAGCTGCAGGTAATGCCATATGGTTAGTTTTCCATGTACCACGAGGATCACTTAAATCAATTTGCCTTGCCTCAATACCTATGGCAAAGCCAGCATAATGCATTGCAATGGAGAATTCAGTCCCCTTGGCAGGAGCAAAGCAACCCTTAAGTAGCGTTAGTGATAGATAGCAAGATAAAATAAAACACAGAGTTCAAGTGGCTTGCCATAGGCCACAAAAATGAGGAGGTTAGTTAAACAGAAATTAAAAGGTACAGTGCTACAAGTGAAATCCCTGCAAGCTGCATGGAAACTTTTTAAAGACACCATAATAGAGCTCAGCCTAAATGTTTATCCCAAATTAAAAAAAAACATAGTAAGAGAACCAAAAAAGCTAAACATCCAAGTAAAAGAAGCAGTGAGAGGCAAAAAGGCATCCTTTGAAAAGTGGAAGTAAAATCATAGTGAGGAAAATAGAAAGCAGCATAAAAGCTGGCAAATTAAGTATAAAAATATAATTAGGAAGGCCAAAAAAGAACTTGAACAGCTAGCCAAAGATTCAAAAAGTCATTGCAAAAAAACTTTTTAAGTACATCAGAAACAGGAAGCCTGCTAAACAGCCAGTGGGGCCACTGGACGATGGAAATGCTAAAGGAGCACTCAAGGACGATAAGGCCATTGTAGAGAAACTAAATGAATTCTTTGCATCAGTCTTCATGGCTGAGGATGTGAGGGAGATTCCAAAACCTGAGCCATTCTTTTTTAGGTGACAGATCTGA